GCGGTCGTAAAGGATCCGCTGGGGGAGGGGAGGGCGGGTGGCGTCTCCTAGGGGCCAGACCAGGAAGGATCCCAGATGGAGGAAGAGCGAACAGATCCCAGGAAGAGACCGAAACTTCTGCGGCGTAGTGGGGCGGGGGCGGGGAGTGGAGGGAGAAGAGATGGTGGTGGGTCGGAGCTGGAGTACTTGGGAGAGATGTGCCAAGGCTCCTCAGGCATCATCAAAGACTTACAAAGAAGGCGGGCCGTGGGGAGTCACAAGGATTTCCCGGAGGCCTTAGGGGAGCAGGGGTGAGAACTCAAGGCCGGGCATGCTGGAGGTCACGCACAGCGCCCTGCTCGGTGAACAGCTTCCCCTGCTTCACCCCCTCTTGGGCCCCATCCATACAGCTGCGGAGCCTCTAGGATCAGGGAAGCCACAAGGGCAAAACCTTCCTGTCCTCTCAACCTCAGCCCTACCTCTCACTCACTGTCCTCCGTGACTAGTGTGGCAGCCATCCATGGAGCCCTCGTGAGGTTGGGATTGTGGGACCGTGGGAACTGGCTTGATTCATAGTTGGGCTTTGCCCCAACCACCACCACCACTACCCTGGTAGCAACCTCTGGAGGAACGGGAAGCAGCTGCTCAAGAGCAGCCCACCTGGTAGAGGGTCAGGGTGGGGGAGGAGAGCTGATAGGGACTTAAAAGGCCTGAGTGAAATCAGGGGGAGGGGAGGCACCTCTAACACGAACGAAAACAACAACAAAAGGGCTCACAAAGAGTACTACACAATATTACCAGGATCAGCTTAATTTCACCGAACAGGGAGCGGAAAGCCAGGCCTAAGGCACAGCCTCAGGGGCTTCAATAGAGCTGGAGTACGTCAAGGTCGGCTGGTGTCGATCTTCAGCCACCCCCTCCCCTTCCCCGTGGTCCCATTTCCTCTCTTTCACCCCTAAAAGAGCAAAGGTTAAGCCCCACCCCTGCTGAGTCAGCCTGGGAGGGAGCTAGGCATCCCTCAGGCCTTCCCTGGGGGCTGGCCCCAAACTCACCCATGTCAGGCTTGAAGGGCTCCTGGTTGGGACCACTTGGCTGCTCACTGTCCTTGGGCTCCCTTCAATGTGAAGGCTTGTGTTAGATCCTCCAAAACTGTGAACTGAGAACTAGCAAGAATCAAACAGCCAATGTATGCTTCCTGCGAACCTCACAGCCTGAACTGCTGTAGGGTGATGTCCCTGTGTGACAGACTGGTAGGGAGGGAGGAGGGAGGAAAGAGGAGGGAGGGAAGGGCGGGGCTTTCTCTGGGTGGAGAGAGGGAGGAGACCCAGGACAGGGCAGACTGGGAGAAATATGGAGGAAGGTTAGAACTATGGTGACTCTTCGGTAGCACGGTAGAAGAGGACAGTAAAAGGAGAAGCAACTAATCGTAGCTAGTGAGATGGAGAAGGTGGTCGATAAATACTGAAGAACACCAATGTAGAAGGGGATGCAAATGAGCTTTGGTACCTCAGTTCCTGGGTCCTCATCTGGTTACTGGGGGAAACGAAAAAGCTGACCGGTACACGGGGGCCTTCGCTAGCATACCCACGAGCAAGTCAGAGCCTGGAAGAAGTGTTTCCCCCCTCAGCCCCCGCCCAGTAACATTTCCCCCAATCCAGGCTTTTCTGGGAGCAAACTACCAGGCACATGCAGCTCAGGGGCTCCACCTTCTGTCCAGATGGTGGCACAGGAGGAACTGCTGCCTTGGACGTCACCGCAAGAGGGGAGGAAGCTCGCAGGCCCCAACTCTGCCCCAGGCGGGTCTCCCAGGGCCCCTCATCAACCTTCTGGCCCTAGGGGCCCCTGAATTGGGAGCTCAACCTGTCCCCCGCCCAGCTTCTACTAAATCGAAAGCCTTGGAGGGCGGGGCTTATAGATACAGGCTCTGCTTCAGGACAAAAGCCCCAGCTGGTTTGTAAACAGTCATTAGATGAGACAATCACCTCTCAGCAAATAGCCTTTATAGATTCAAAATGGTGAGATCAGTTTTCTCAATCTCCAAGGCTGCCGCGAGAGGGCACTAGGATAGGTGTGGGCCCCAAGAACAATTACAGGGAACCAAGTCTGACCTTGCAATCTGCAATTTATTGGGCCAAAAGGAGAATTTATCTAATTGCATTTGGTCAGCAGCCCTAGCAGTAACCCTGAAAATTGCTATTTCCCTTTAGCAGTTTACTAAGCCCCTTTCCAAACTTATGAGATCTTTGCAGAGCTCAGCTATGCCTCCTGAATTTTCCCCCCACAGAGACTGAAGCAATCACAAACGTGCAAGTTTCAGCTTGCTCAAAATGTCAGGAGGCAGGGGCTGGGAAGGTGGCTCAGTGGTCGAGTGCTTGTCTTGCATGCATGAGGCCCTGGAGCACCACATAAGCAGAAAAAAGCTGGAAGTGGTGCTGTGACCCAAGTGGTAAGAGTGCTAGCCTTGAGCTAAAGAGCTGAGGGACAGTGCCTAGGCCCAGAGTTCAGTCCCATAACCGACCAAAAAAAAAAAAAAAGACGGTAAATTTTCTGCACAGCTCACACCTGTAATCCTGCTCAGAAGGCTGAGATCTGAGGATCACAGTTCGAAGCCAGCTAGTCAGTAGTCTCTGACTTATCTCCAATTAAGCACCAAAAAGCCAGTATAGCGGTGACACAAGTGATAGAGTTGCTAGCCTTGAGCAAAAAAGCTGAGGGGAAGCTAGGCACTGGTGGCTCACGCCTGTAATCCTAGCTACTCAGGAAGCTGAGATCTGAGGATCGCGGTTCAAAGCCAGCCCGGGCAGGAGAGACCGTGAGTCTCCTATCTCCAATAAACCACCAGAAAACTGGAAGTGGCGCTATAGCTCAAGTGGTAGAGCGCTAGCCTTGAGCTGAAGAGCTGAGGGACAGCGCCCAGGCCCAGAGTTCAAGCCCCACAACGGACAAAAAAAAAAAAAAAGCTGAGGGGAGAATGCAATCAAAACTTCAATGTACATACAAGAAAAATGAGTGAAGGGATGGGTTGGAAGAATGATGAAAGGGTGACACTGACCAAGATGCATTATATTCACAAATTGCTTTGCTAAATAGCTCTTAATAAAAATAATAAAGCTCAAGACAGCATCCAGGGTCTGAGTTCAAACCTCAGGAACTGCATGAAAGTTTCTGAAGAAATGAAGGCCAGTGCCAGCTCTGGTGTCACAGGTACGTAATCTCAGCATTTGGAATTCAGAGGAAAGGAAATGAGGATCAGTTCAGTCTGAGTCCTTGACTCAAATGGGGGGGGGGGGGAATCCAGTCATGATGTAATCAATAGTAATCAGTTTTTTCTTGTGGGTTGTAGGGCTTGGGTGCTCTCTTAAGCTCTTTTGCTCAAGGTTAGTGTTCCACTACTGGTTAATTGGAGACAAGTCTACTTCCCGGGGTAGGCTGGCTTTGAACTATAATCCTGATCTCAGCCTCCTGAGTAGCTAGGATTACAGGAGTGAGCCACCAGCAGCCAGATGTTGTTCCTTAAAAACAATTAGGGCTGGGAAGGTAGTTTAGTAGTAGAGTGCTTGCCTTACATGCTTGAGGCCCTGGGTTCCATTCCTCAGCACCACATACACGGAAAAAGCCGAAGTGGCACTGTGGCTCAAGTGGTAGAGCGCTAGCCTTGAGCTGAAGAGCTGAGGGACAGCGCCCAGGCCCTGAGTTCAAGCCCCATGAACGACAGGAAAAAGCAAATTTAAAATCATTTCCCCATTACGCCTTACTAAAAAAACTTTGCTTTTTTACCAAGCACAAATGTGCTATATAAAATGTTTAAAGCAGAAAAAGTGTTTTGATCAAATGCCACTTCACAAGTGGGCCAAAGCTCAGATCTAGTTGTGCACAACAAGATGCAGATCATAAATCCACAAGAATAATCCCCATTCCAAACATACATAGCCTTTTTTATGCTAAAGCTGAATGAATCTTTGAGGCCAAGTTGTCAAAAATTTCAGTGATAGGCATGGTGGCTATTTTTTTTTTTTTGTCGGTTGTGGGGCTTGAACCCTGAACTTGGGGGCTGTCCCTCAGCTCTTCAGCTCAAAGCTCTACCACTAGAGCCACAGTGCCACTTCTGGTTTTCTGAGTGGCTTATTGGAGATAAGAGTCTCATGGACTTTCCTGCCCAGGCTGGCTTTGAACCATGATTCTCAGATCTCAGCCTCCTGAGTAGCTAGGATTACAGGCATGAGCCACCAGCACTGGGATGGTGGCTCTCATAGTAATTGTATTTACTCAGGGAGCTGAGATCAGAATCACAGTTGGAGCCAGCCAAGCATATTGCAGGACTATAGTAGTTAGTATAAAATAGGAACAAAGTACAAGCATACACTGGGGCAAAAAGAGATCCTATCTACTTAAAAAAAAAAAAATCACGGGGCTGGGAAGGTGGCTCAGTGGTGGTAGAGCGCATGCCTTGCATGCCAGAGGCCCTGGGTTCAATTCCTCAGCACCACATAAGCAAAAAGAAAAAAAAAGCTGGAAGTGGCGCTGTGGCTCAAGTGGTAGAGCGCTAGCCTTGAGCTGAAGAGCTGAGGGACAGCACCCAGGCCCAGAGTTCAGGCCCCATGACTGGACTCAAAAAAAAAAAAAATCAGTGCAAAATAAGGGCTGTTGACATGGCTCAGTAGATCACTTCCCTAAAAGGTGTGAGGTCCTGAGTTCAAACCCTTATATTGTCTACCTACCCTCTAAAAAAAAGTAAATGTAGTCAGAACCAAGAAAAAGAGATACATTCTGAGGGGTATACATTTTATTGGAAACCTTAAATACTCTTGAGACAGAACATGTCTTCAATCAAGGGTCTTATCTGGCTTTCACAGAAAACTGTAAATTTTAGAACTGGAGGACAAGGAAAGGTACAGGATGAGGATGAGTGCTTAGTTTGTCAGGAGGACCCCTCACGATGCATGCTCTTCAGCCAGCTTATCAGCTTTTGCCACAGCTTCTTCAATAGGTCCCACCATATAAAAGGCCTGTTCTGGAAGATGGTCATATTCGCCTATAAAGGAAAATAAATCAGATTAGTAAGAAATGGAGGAATATTAACCTTTTGCAGTGTACTTCTTTTATAGTCAGATTTGAAAAACATGGTGTACAATGGATTAAGAAAACATGCTGGGGAGGACTGGGAAGGTGGCTCAGTGGTAGAGCTAAAGAGCTGAGGGACAAGTGCCCAGGCCCAGAGTTCAGCCTCCCTACCCCCAAAAAAAAATAGAAAACATGCTAGCTGGGTGTTGGGTGATTCTTTCCTATGATCCTACCTACTCAGGAGGCTAAGAGGATTGCAGTTCAAAGCCTGCCTGTCAGGAAAGTCTATGAGATAGATACTCATCTCCAATTAACCATCAGAAAACTGGAAGTGGTGGCTGAGTGGTAGAGTGCTAGCCTTCAGCAAAAGAGCTTGGGGGCAGCACTCAAGCTATTGAGTTCAAGTCCCAGGACAGACAAAAAAAGCAAAAACATGGGTTAAGATAACGTAACTTGGATTTAAAATCTTGCTACCATGGCTATGTGATACTAGGTTAAAACTTAGTGTGTTCCCAATTTGTTTTGTTTTTTTTTTTGGTTAGTCGTGGGGTTTGAACTCTGGGCTTGGGCGCTGTCCCTGCGCTATTCAGCTCAAGGTAAACACTCTACCTACCGCTTGAGCCACAGTGCCACTTCCAGTTTTTTAGTGGTTTATTCTAAGAGTCTCACGGACTTTCCTGCCCTGGCTGGCTTTGAACTGTGATCCTCAGATCTCACCCTCCTGAGTAGCTAGGATTACAGGCGTGAGCCACCAGCACCCGGCTTGTTTTGTTTGCCAATATTGGGGCTTGAACTCAGGGCCTAGGCACTGTCGTTGAGCTTGTTTATCTTAAGGCTAGCACTCTACCACTTGAGCCACAGGGTTACTGAGGAATCAAACCCAGAGCTTCATGCATGCTAGGCAAGCATTCTACCACTAACCCACATTCCCAGTCCCAATTTCTTCATTTGTATAACGTTTTTCCTTTAAGGTTGTACCTGCAGCTAGTCTTGATCTGAGTTGAAGTTCCAAGCCAGCCTGGGAAGGAAAGTAA